GAGCCCTCGGCAGCAGCTCCCTAACCCCTTTCCCCATCCCTCCCCACCCCCAGCCTCTAAGTTCCTTTCTGCTCTGTACCTGTATGTGCTCAGCGGTCGAAGGTTGTGCATAGTCATGCAGTTCCATCCTATTGGTCTCTGTGCCTGATTCATGTCACTTCATATGATGTCCTCCAGCTTCACCCTTCTTGCCACAAGAGATAGCATTTCCTGTTTTTGCTTTTTTAAAGCATATGTATAAAAGTGTACACCACATTTTAAAAATCCATCCATCTGCTGCTGCAGTGGACATGGGAGCCCACTGTGTCGCAGCCCGGTGTTGGGCCAGCAGTTGGGCAGACAGGTTCTGTGGTAATTGTGTTTGTAGCCTTTTGTGGAAGCTTCGGGCTGTTTTTCAGTGTGACAGGGCTGACTTTGAATACCATCAACAGTGTGTAGGGGTCCCATCCCTCTATTCACATCTTCCCCAACTAGGGTTATTCCTGATCTTTTTTTTTTTTTTAGTGAGAGTTTATCTAACAGGTGTGAGGTGACAACTCACCGTGCTCTCGGTTTGCGCTTCTGTCTGTTCCTGCTGCCTTTGTTGAAGATGAGTTGGCTGCAGATCTGGGGGTTTGTTTCTGAACTCTGGTTTAGTGCGTTGGTTGATGTGTTCATGCCAGGACTGTGCTGGTGTTTTAGAATGTTTGTAAATTAATTTTCATTAACTTAAAAGGCAGATTGACAGAGTGAAAGAAAAACAAAGAAAAGAACTCCATGCACTGGTTCACTCCCAGAGGGTCACAGCAGCTAGGGCTGTGCAAGGTTAAAGCCTGGAGCCTGGAACTGGGTAATGGGACTCAGGGCGTCATCCTCTGTTGCCTTGCAGGTGCGTTAGCAGGAAGTTGGATCCCAAGCAGATGCCTGGGCAGTCCTAGGCACTCCACTCTAGGATGTGGGCATCTCAGGTGGTGACTTGAATTGCTGTGCCCTAATGCTTACCCTATGTGATTAAAAAAAGTTTGTTTTATTTGAAAGAGAAGGAGCTGAGATGACCCAACGCCAGGAACTGAGAGCTTCCTCTGGGTCTTTTATGTAGGTGCAGAGGTCCAAGGACTTAAGCTATACTCTGCTGCTTCCCCATGACAGAGAGCTGGATTGGAAGTGGAACAGCCAGGACTTGAATCAATGCACATATGGGATGTCAGCACCACAGCTGGAGGATTCACCTATTATACCACACCACCGGCCCCCTCATTTTATTTTCCTATTTTATTTCTGTCTTCTCTCATCTGTATCATTCTGTTATTTCTGGTGGTCTTTAGGTTTGTTTTGCTCTTCCTTATTCCTTTGTTCCTCAAGGTGTAGAGTTGGGTGATTGAGTGAAGCTATTTCTGTTTAATATTTCTTTTTGAGTATAGCTTTCTTTGCATCCATAGCATAAGTCTCTTATGAAGCCATTTTCATTCTTTAAGTATTTTATAATTTCCCTTGTGATTTTTTTCCCATTAGCCATTTGGATAAGAATGTTTGTTTACTTTCTACACACTTATGAAATTTCCAGTTTCTCCTTTCATTTCTAATTTAATTCTATTGTGGTTGGAGGAGCTATTTTGTAAGATTTAAATTTTTCAAAATACACTGAGACCTCTTCATGGTGTAACCTGTGGTCTATCCTGGAGAATGTCCCATGTATGTCTGACATGATTGCATATTGGGTGTTTAATACAGGTTTGTCAATATGGCTGCTTTGTAGCACTGGTCGGGTTTGCTCTTTCCTCGATAATCTCTGGTTATTTTATCCATCATTCAAGTGGTATGTGGAAGCCCACAGCAAACACTGAGTTCTGTTAATTTGCTTCATACACTTTGGGATTCTAGAGTTTGGTTAAGATATGTGCTTATATTCATTCAGTTTGTGTATCTTCTTGATGAATTAACCCATTTCCAATGTTTAATGTCCTTCTTAGTCTCTTTTTAACAACTTTTTAAAAAAAGATACATTTATTTTTATTGCAAAGTCAGATATACAGAGAGGAGGAGAGACAAAGATCTTCCGTCTGATGATTCACTCCCCAAGTGACCGTGACAGTCAGTGCTGAGCCAACCTGAAGCCAGGAGCCAGGAACTTCCTCCAGGTCTCCCATGTAGGTGCAGAGTCCCAAGGTTTTGGACTGTCCTCAACTGCTTTCCCTGCCACAAGGATGAAGCTGCCAGGATTAGAACCAGTGCCCATATGGGATCCCAGTGCATTCAAGGTGAGGATTTTAGCTGCTAGGCCATTGTGCCAAGCCCTTAAGAGCTTTTGACTTAATGTCTATTTTCTCTGATTTTAGGATAGGGCTCCCTTTCAGCTGTGTTGTGTAATTGTGTAGTGTAGTTGTATATTTTCTTAGTTGTGTAGTTGTCATTGTGTAGTTGTGTAGTTTCATTATGTAGTTGTGTAGTGTAATTGTGTTGTGTAGTTTTCTATTTGTGTAATTGTATAGTTGGTATTGTGTTATGTTGTGTAGATGTTTTTTAGTTGTGTAGTGTAGTTGTAGTTGTGCAGTTGTATCCAAAGACGCATGTAACGCACGTGACACACATGTCCAAAATGACACACTTGATACATGTGTCCAAAATTATGCCAGTGTCCAAAATGACACACGTGACAGTGTCCAAAATGACACATATGACACACATGTCCAAAATGATGCAGATCTCGTTTGCATCAGCATACAAAAGGATCCTTACCTAAAGCTATCAGCACTTAGGAGGAATGCTACTAGTGGAGTAGCACAATGGTAGGTTTGAATGGCACCCACACAGCATCCCAGCATCCCAGCATCCCAATCTCTGATTGTCTTGGTCACCAACTGCATTTCTATGTTCCTTCCCTGCTATCTACGGCCTTCTTTTGCTCCAGTTTGAGTCTGCCAGCCAATTCCGCTGCAGCCTAAGAACGTCTCTTGTCTGGACATCAGTGCTCTCCCACACGGGGTCATGTAAGCACAGATAACAAGAATGATCACTCCTCACAGAGAAGTAACATGGTTAAAACAAAACCTACAAGTAATCCACTTGTAATGGAGAGTTGAGATAGGTATATATTTGATAAGGATTTGTTTGCAGTTTTTCTGTTGGATTAAAGTTATAAATAGTAGGCATGTGCTGTGAAAAACAAACCAGTAAGGAAGGGAAGGCCAAAGGCTAGAACAAATAGGAAGACCAAAGGAGACCAAGCACCTGCCACATGCTATGTTACTTGTGCCTATTTTTCAGAAGCAGCATCTAAACACAAAAGAGCTCAAAAGCAAAGTCCTACATAAACAGTTTTTTTCCAGAGCCAACAAATCTCTTGTAGAAACTAATAAATCTAGGTCTCAGACACAAGGGAGTAAAAACCTAGTAGTTTTAAAAATTGAAAATGTTTCCTAATTACTAGCAGATCTCTTTCCACTGAAAATTAAATTAAAGGGAAAACCAGGAGATTCAGGAGCTGGGTTTCACTTTCCATGGTACCTCACTGTCCTGTATGTGAAACTACAAAAACCATGTGTTGAGAATATGGTAGTTCCGAGCATTTTGATAACCAAATAAAGTTTGGAAAATTCAGCATAGAACCAAAGCAAGGGTGAAGTTTTTCTGAGGTTTTCACTTGTTCGTTTCTTGATCCAAGTGTGTGTACAAAGGGTGTGCATCTTACCTTGACATGCTGGGCTCCTGGAAGTGTTCAGTTTTATTCCTAGCAGCAAAGGGGCCCAGCACTAGAGAGCATTTGGCCTCTGAAATTTCAATGGTCCTGGCTAGCGGTTGGGTTTGGGGCCATAAGAATCCTGATGCAAAACGACTTTTTCAAGAATTTACCTATGTATTCATTAAAGAGCACAAGAGAGACAGGGAGAGAGAACATACACTCAACCTTCCATCTGCTGGTTTACTTCTGAAATGCTCGACAGCCATGACTGCCAAACTGAAGCCAGAAGCTAGGAACTCCATCTGGGTCTCCCTAGTGGATGGCAAGGATACATGTGTCTGGCCACAATCCCCTGCTTTCCCAGGCACTACAGCCAAACCTGACCTGTACTGGGGCTGCCAGAAATCAGTGCTGGTTAGCACTCCCTATGGCATACTGTCATTGAAAGGGATGCTTAATCTGCAAGTGATGCCACAATCTCTGTCCTGAAAAACTATTTTTATATAAATCTAACACATCTCTCAGAAGTGGGATACAGCACTGCTTGGAAAAATCAAGTATCCTATAACAAAATACATAATCTATTTTCACATCCGAAAGGTAACTTGGGAGCAGCTCCAGGCACCACCTAATTAACTGAAGCAGAAAGGGGAAAAAAAAAAGTCCTCAGAAAATAGTATTGTTTAAATACACTCTATTTTATTTTGTCTTAAAATAGTTTAACCTTTATGCTACAGACTTATTTCAAAAAACAGAAAATCTTATCTTGCACCAAAAAATATATATATAACACTCTGTTTTATTATTTTTTTTCTCCAAATACCATTAAATACTAAATGGAAACAAAAACTAAATAATGAATGTAAAGAACCAAATTTCATTTTTAAAAACTAGAGTTGCACATTTGAAAACATTAATTCTAAGCAATGATTTGTCGTCACTGCATCCAGTCCACACTCACACTCCAGCAACAGCAGATCTGTTAAGCGCCAAGTGCATCGGTTCCTAGCCATACAATGGCTAACATTTCATTTTCACGGTAAGAAGAGCAAAAGGCTTCAAAGGCCTTTGTACTCTTTAAAAACAAAACAACAAAGTATTTCCTAGTTATCCAGTGATTTTTTTTAAGATCACTATCCTTTAAAATTTGTAAAAAGAACAAGAAGTAGTGTTTTAAATAAAATGGAAAAAAAGTACAACAGCATTGGACTAAAATACGTGATTTTAAACAAACAGTGCACAATCTGAGGAAGTTTGGTTAGGGTGCAATCATTTTTATATATACATGGAAGTCACATCATACACACATCGGAGAATAGGGATCAGGGACTCTGTCTTTATAAAAAAAAAAAGTTAAAACTGAGAAGATGAAATTGTGTCCCCAGCTTATTCAAAAACCTTGTGACACATTATAAAAAGCAGGCAACACATTTAACTTTAGGTTTCCAACGGTACTAGGCTGCTAAAAGTAAAGATGAAAAGAACACTAAATTAGTAAATCAGACAGCCAAGGTTCACAATTGATAACAGTAAAAGCAGAGTTCACAGGATGCTCGATTTTCAAGAATAATGGAGCCCATTCAGGATGCCCTCATGAGCAAAATGAAATGAGTTAAGTTACAAGGCAGTCATGACGATGCGATAGCTAGCCTACTGCTCTGTTTCTTCAAATTGGAGGGGAGGAGAATTTAACCAAGTCAGTGGCATAAACCATGTGTCCCATTTTAGAAGAGACACTACTTTGAGTAGACAATGTCTTGTGAAGCTTAAAGGATCAATTATCAAATGCAAGCTCTTTAAAAGAAATTTTAAATGTTACAGAAATTGTGTATCAGAATTTTATTAATACCTTGCCTGAAACTACATCCCCACTCTTCTTGATGGAGCAACAAAGCAAGAGTTGAAACATGGTCTCTATCGTCGGTAAGTGGGAACCTCATAGGGAAGAGGAGAGCTGACAATCTCTACCATCGCTCCCCCTGCTCTATTTGCTCCTTTAACATTTCAAATCTCTGCTCTGATGTACCACATAGAAAAGTCCAGGGACCAGTTTAGGGACAAATAAGGGAAAGTGCAAGCTGATATTAAAGCAGAAGAGCTTGGTTGCAAGTTCGCACTCTGTTCCCACTCCATCGTGCTCACAGCATGCCCCACAAGTCCTCTCTTTGGAAGGTGACTAAAGAGACCATGCCATGGGATTGCTTGCCATGTGGACTCAGATGAACACACCACCAACACAGGAACAAGCAATGCAAACACATTCTTCAAAATGGAGCTCTGCTCTAACACAGGCAAGAAAACAAGCTGCAAAAACTTCAAGTCATATAATCCACTCTAATATCTTCCCAATGATTTTCCTGGAAAACACAGACCAGAAATTACACATTTCTGCTTGTCTGGTATTTTAATTCAAGTCAAAAATAATGTGTAACAGTAAAACTCAATAAGTTAGTCCTAAAGTAAAATGTGAAGGTCCAAGGACACACCAGTAGTGAGGCTTCAGAAGGTCCTATTTTGCGTTGGCCTCTGGGTCTTTGGTTTTTGTCTAGAATTGTGGCCATGTGAGAGAACGACACGTGAGGTGCTAAAACCAGAGGTCTGTGATCCTAAAAACCTATGTATCAAAAGTAGACTGGAAGGAAGATGAAAACCTGAAGAAGAGAGGCTAGATCAAATGAGATGCTGTCCGAGATCAAGGAACACACACTCAAACACACTCCCAAGGAAGAAGGAGTGTGCAGAACTGAAGGAACAGGAAGGAGAGCAAAGGAACCAGTGTGCCTTCACATACAGTGGCAGAAAAGGCCAGGTAGCTGGGGCCAGAGAGAATCTGAAGGCTTACATGCGGGCTGTGTTCCCGCAGTCACCGCAGCACCCACCCCGCGCAGAGCCTCATGCAGAGCAGGCACTCGCTAAATGTGTGTTAGCTGAATGGAAACTGAACCGGTCCTCAAACTCACGATTTGGAAGACCATCAAGGCATCTAGGAAGATCAGCAAGGGACCATAGCAACAGTGGAAACAGAAACAAACAAACAAAAAACAATAAAAGCAGACAAAATTTTTAAAAAAGTGAGGTCTTCTGAGCCAGTATCACTTCCCTCTGCCTGTGCACAATACATAGTGTTCTAACCCTAGATATTGCTTTTAAAAGAATTAATAATAATTCTCTCTAACAAGACATTAGAGAGAAAAGGTAGTAGCATTGCCACAAAACTCCAATGCTAGCATTTTCCTGAATTCCCTGAAGCTTATACTGCCCTTTGCTATTCCCTTTAGATGCTTTTTAAATACAGTGTTGTTCACGTTCAGCATGCTGGTCAAATACAGCCTAAATCTGTTTTGTTTTGTTTAAATCAGGGCATGTTTTCTTAGAATTGGAAGAAGGGGAAAAACACCCCAATATAGCATCAGGTGTACTTCAGCTCAGGTGTTGAGGCTGTTACAGGTCTTACGGACAGCACTATGAAACGCTGCACTCTCCTCTGAAATACGAGGGCCTATAACCTTATAAGCCACACAATTTTCATGTTCTAGAAACAGGCTTCAATACTTTCCTATTATTTGACCAAACCATGAAAAATGGGTGAGGGAGACAAATGTTCCCAGTGCTTCTACAATATTCTCCCCCTCTGATGCCCAGATCTCTTGGTGGGGATCTGAAATGTCCTCTGCCCCACAGGAGACATTTTCCACAGTCATAAATTATTGCAACAAGGAGACTAACTAGGGCACCTTAGTAATACGTAGGAACACAAGTGTTGTGAGAAGTCAATCAGGAGCAAAGTCAGGAAAGAAGGCCGAAGACTTAAGCCAAAAAGAGTAATACTTGTAATACTTCTGTCTTCTGTTTTGAAGGACAGGTTTTTTTTAAGTGCACATGCCATACTAGGTGCCAGTAAGGACATGACTGATATGTGTGTGAACGCCCCAAGCTGAGAGTGCCAATGGAGTCAGGGCAGATAGTGGTCAAGTCTAGAGAGCAATTTCATTACACAGAAAAATAAATACAAGACTCAAAAACTGAAATCCATTTTACCTGGTAATTAAATATTATTCTAAAAGGAAGGTAGAGTTTCCTAAGATTAAAAGTCAAGTAAAATGAGGTTGTCTAATAAATTCATTATTTTTATATGCTTACTGAGGGAAAAAGAAATTCTTTTCTCAGTGATAAGTTATCTTCCTAAGTGACTTCTTTTAATTAAAAAAAAAAAGAGGTTTTCCATGAGTTTTCAATTCTACAAATGCCACAAACAGCTTCTGAAGCTGAAGCCATGACAATGAAGTTCCGTGTCACACAGAGGAGGAGGAAGTGGGAGGGAGCAGTGCAGAGAAACACAGTGACATGGGATCACAGTAGGTATTTACGTCTACTATCCTCATCCAGAGTGAGGTCGACCACTTCTGCTGGGGAAGCCCACGTCTGCTGGGGGGTCACAGCAGTCCATGACTGTGCCTGCCGGCTGCTGACGTACTGTGTCCCCGAACCATGCTTCCATGAAGACACGCTCTGAATCACACCTCCTCGAGGATGAACGCACCTGCAAGAGAGAGAAGAGCAAACACATGCTTACTGCACCCAAAGAAAATGGGACAAAATCATTGCAGCTGCGCTCATCAATACTTTCACTAAGATAAGCTTCTTTCACAAGTTCAGGAAAGCCACAGTCAACATCCTTCCTTTCCCCTTTCTCATGCCTGTCTGTCTCACTCCCCTCTCTCCATCCTTCCCTGTGTCTCCATCCCTTGTTCAGCTCAGCCTTAAAAAAACACCAAGAGTCTTATCTCAAGACACTTCCAGATTGTGTCTCAGATACTGACCATAGGCAAGACAATGTTTTACTGGGCACATTTAAACCTCTAGCACTCTGTGACAGGGCAACATTTTAAGTCCAGGACAAAATTACAATGTCAAACAAGAGGAAACAGGAGAATGAGTGAAATAACTTTTCTATCATACTTGCATTAATAGCTTCCAAAACAGACTAGATTCCTTGACATTCCAAGTACCAGGCCATACACAATCAACCCATTTCCCTCATCCTGAGGGACACAACAGATGCACTTGGCTCCTTCATCTGAGCTGCTTCTGTAACAAATGACCCGGGGCAGGGGTAGTCACATGAACTAACTCAGTGCTTCCCAGGCAGTGGCTCTAACCATCTGTATGCGATGAGTGATAACATGGTCACTTGAAAGATTCCCACTGTGACTCAACACTACTTGCCCCACCAGGTTCAAAAGAACATTCAAGTGAGTAAGGATGAAATTCACAGGCAAACTTGCCCCAAGTCCTCAGGCTCCTGAAAAGATGCCCTGCTCTCCCAAAAGCCAGCCTGAACCTGCTCCCTCCCCAGCAAAGTGGTCAGGGGGAGGCATCGGACTCAGCAGTTGCGATGCCTATTAGGAGGCATGCATTCTATATCTAAAGATCTGGGTTTCATACCTGACTCCTAGCTTTTCTGCTAATGGTGGGCAGCTCAAGTGACTGGGATCTTGTCACCCACCTGAGAGTCCTAGACTAATTTCCAGGCTCTGGGTCTTACCTTAGGCCCAGGAAGGAGGGGGAATGGGGGCAAGAGTGGAGACTTGATAACAGTGCCGGAGGCCCATAATCGGGAACAGATCAACCAGCTGCTAACCTAGAGGCCACCGCACTTTCAAAAATTCACTAATAAAGAGAGACATAAAGCCCAATGTCTAATTCAAATCTGTCCAACTCATTAACACCAGATTAAGCAACCAGGTAGTCAGGAGAAAATGCTAGCCATTCGAAATTGACTGAAATGGTTTTGGTGACTGGAAGCCAACAGACTACCAAGGTTACAAAGCATTTTCAAATATATTACCTCTTTTGACAATTCTGAGATTCATGCACTAGGGTGTGGAAGTCATTACATGTTCTCAAAAAATGAGCAAACTAGGAATTCAACAGCCTATAGGAGCTGTCTGTGGTCAGTGTCCAAAAGTGGGAAGCCAAGCGGCAGGCTTTCCACAGCACATGGTCACTTCTCAGACATGTGTCGAATCAAGCAATAACACAGCAGGAGTCGGCAGAGCAGAAAGAGAGGACCAGACTTACAATTTCAACATACGAAGTTATTTAACAAGTTCTCCTGTTAAGGACTAACTCAAATCAAACTAGTTAGAAATCTGGTAAGGAATTCAGGGAGTAAGCAGCCACAAAGACAACCAATGCAACCTTTGGCACAATTCCTAGAAATAGTTCTGAAATACAAGAAGCATATAGTCCCAGCTGTTTCTCTGCATGGCTCCCTGAGTAATCACACTTTGTAACATCAGGCAATGGCTTTCAGGAGATCTAATCTAATCTGTTTACTTAACAGAAGAGAAAACAAGGTCCAAAGTCAACTGCCAATGCCTTAAGCTATGCACAGAACCACAGCAAAAGCAGACCTCCACTTTTTCACTAACCATTCATTTTTCACTAAGTAAAGGCCTTCCTCGGACCAAGACCGACTAGGAGGAACAGTGCTTAGGCCTGGGAATGTTCAATAAAAGCAAAGCACATTCTAGAAAGCACCTGGTATCAAAGATGACAAGGAGAGCGCAAAGTTCTAAGACTGCTGAAGAACGTCCTGCTGAAGAACAGCAGCAGGAGAGAGAAAAACAAGGAGATGAGGTACCTCTTAAACTATCTAAAAATAGAAACTTCTTTAGTTAGTGGTTCCAGAGACCAACTCAGGCTATGATGCACAAAAGCAAGTATTTATTAGGACACTGGAACAGCTCAAAGAACCTTAGGATGCAAGGTAAGCCCCACCCTCTCAATCCCTTCCTTCGAAACATCAACTCCTGTGGACAAGGCAATGGTCCCATCTTTGGTCCAAAGCTTTCCTGGCTATAATTAGTTGTAGCTGGAAGAGTGGCTCTCAAAGAAGGAAAAATCCCTGTGAGCTGGGCAGCCACCACAGAAAGCACTACTCCGCCTGGCACAGGGACCTTAAGGGCATGGGAAGAAGCACAAACAGGTTTTGGGTGATCATTCCTAAACGGTCACAGTCATTACAAAATGGAATAAACTACCTTTTAAACACGCAAGCAATTGCGGGGGCATTTGTCCAGAGAGTTAGAAGCTCTTCTAGGAAGACCTCTAAGGTCACAGTGTAAGATCTGTTCAGAAACAGGCAACGCTAGAATATGAAGTAGTCAGAGGAGGGGCCGGCACAATGGCTCAATGGCTAAATCCTCACCTTGCAAGCACTGGGATCCTATACTGGTTGCTGGTTCATGTCCTAGATGCTCCACTTCCCATTCCCTGCTTATGGCCTGGGAAAGCAGTGGAAGATGGCCCAAGACCTTGGAACCCTGCATCCAAGTGAGAGCCCTGAAAGAAGCTCCTGGCTCTTGGCTCCTGGCTTCAGATCAGCTCAGCTCTGACCATTGCAGTCATTTGGGGAATAAACCAGAAGATAGAGAATCAATCTCTATCTATCTCTCCTTCTCTCTAAAAGTCTGCCTTTCAAAATGAAAACAGAATAAAATAAATCTTAAAAACAAACAAAAAAGGAGTCACAGCAGTACTCACTGAGAGAAAGGCAAGGAGGAAGCTGTGTAGAAGGTGGCACAGGAAACATGCATGTGTGTATATATATCTGCATCTCAGTAGGGGTTTCTTGGCTTAAAGTATCTAAGAGCTTATATTTGCTATAAGCACATAAAACATTATATATTTTAAAAAGTCAACTGAGTAAAAAGACCAGTGTTAGAGAAACAGTTCAACCACTTTACAGGATGGCGCACGTTGCAGATTAACTTCTGCCACACAGGCAGGGAGTGAGTACTGAGACCTGGGGCATCCACAGTGGTCAGAAGCCCTCCGGAGTTAGCCTATAAAAAAAGGCTGTGACCAACACAAAAACTCTGTTGTGTAACCAACATAAAACTCATTTTCAAGCATGATCACAGGTGTTTTTCATGTCTTATTGAATGTGTGGGTTGAGAGCTTACTCTACTTGTCTTAAATGAGTCTGATCCAATTTTGGTGAAACTGCAGATTTTCCTTCCACAAAACATTTAACCTGCATAGGACTGTCAACAGGCATGAAACAAACCTAGAATCATGTTTCCAATTTATCCCCAGAAAATGCTTACACCTCACATCCCGAAAGACTGAGAAATGACAATATGTTTTTACAATATAATCTGCTCCCTATAACTAAAACTGATACAAGAGAAACTTTACAATTTTTAAAAATATTTATGTTCTTTTTCATTGGAAAGTCAGATATTCAGAGAGGAGGAGAGACAGGAAGATCTTCCGTCTGCTGATTCACTCTCCAAGTGGCCACAATGAAGCTGCACCAATCCAAAGCAAGGAGTCCAGAGCCTCTTCCAGGTCTCCCAAGCAGCTCCAGGCTCCCAAGACTTTGGGCCTCCCTTGACTGCTTTCCCAGGCCGCAAGCAGCGAGCTGGATGGGAAGCAGGGCTGCCAGGATTAGAATCGGCGCCCATACAGGAGCCTGGCACATTAGCACTAGACTTTTGCACCAGCCCCGAAACTTTACAATTTTTAAAAAGAAAACCGAGTAGGTCCTATGGGTCAGTGTTTGAGGTAGTTAGTTCATTATTCTACAGAAAAATCAAATAGCAACCATTTTTGGTCTTATTTACTGTGTTTGGGGGTGACCTCCTAAGATTCAAGCTCTAGTTATTTTTCCTAATTGAAAATAAACCAAATCCTTGGGATTTTAGGGAAACAATTGTTGGGTCCTTGCTTTTTCAGGGTTAATGCTTTCTTTTTTTTTTTCCTTTTTTGCCAGAGGGATGAAGCAACATTAACAATGACCAAGGGATGTAACAGTCCTAACATTCACAAAATCTTCCGTTTTATAACAAAATTATCTATGCTATAAGGCTGGTAGAAGAGAAGGCAAAAAGATCAAGGACAAAGAAAAGTATGCATGAGACTCACGGTCATAAGCAAAACTCTCTGGCAAATTAACTGATTACAGAAGAATTAGAAATGTTACAAACTCTGCATCTCACAAGCAATGCACACTGTGTAAAACCAGACTGTCCAAAAACTAACATCCAGGTATGGCAGCATCAGATAACAGGAGTTCATCACAAAACAAGAAAAGGCAGTCCTAAGAGACATATTCAACCCTTAGTTCAGAAAACATGCTTTCTAGTCTAAAACCAGAGGAAACGAAAAGCTAAGTACATTAAAATCAAAATTAAAAGAAGAGGAAGGCCCGACACAGTGGCTAGCCTTGAACATGCCTGGATTTTATATAGGCTCCAGTTCTAATCCCAGCAGCTCCACTTCCCATCCAGCTCCCTGCTTGTGACCTAGGGAAAGCAGTGGAAGACATCCCAAAGCCTTGGGACCCTGCATCCACATGGGAGACCTGGAGGAGGTTCCTGGCTCCTGGCTTTGGATGGGCGCAGCACCGGCCACTGCGGTCACTTGGGGAGTGAATCATCGAATGAAGATCTTCCTCTCTGTCTATCTGACTTTCCACTAAAAATAAATAAATCTTTAAAAAAAAAAAAAAAAGAAAGGAAAAATAGTAACATGAAAGCAAAGAAAAACAACTTCACAAACAAGGATGGGAAGGCATATCATTACTAGAGTTGCTGAAAACACAGCTTCAACAAAATGGTTTTTATATGAAAAAAACACACAAAAGCTATCACAATTCCAAAAGGAACAACTCAAGCACCAAACCTGAGATTTGGAAAACTTTCAGGAAGCTTCTAACAATGCAGGATATCAGAAGAAAAACAGGAAGAAAACATCGAAATCTAAAGAATCATACAAACAAAATTAGGACAAAAAGATGTGGATCAAAACCTAAAACCTTGTTTCCAAGAGATAACCCTGCCAGCAGCACATCAATACTTCATAGCTGCAACCCTAGATCAGTAAGAGAAACAAATTCCAGATGAGCCAAACAGCCAGAGGAGGGGAATTCCGAAGTAGCTAGTCAACAAAAAGGCCTCTTCCCCTACCTCTTCCCAGCTCTTAAAAAACAATGTCTGCAACAGTGTCAGGCTGCTTCTGAAAAAAAACTCTGGGTAAAAGCCCAAACAGAACAGAATCAGTGAAACTTTACTTAGTCCTAGGCCAAAGAACACATCCGTACATGATAAGGACTTTCAACAGATCTGCAAACTCTACAGTCCATTGTATGTACAGTATCAAGGAAGTCTCCCAAGAATTCATGAAGAGTATTCCTTTGTATCTGAAAATGATATAAAGTACTTCCAGGGCAAAGCTGCTCAAAGATATGCTACAGAGAAAAACAGTAACACCGACTAAGTCCAAAGGCAAACATAAAAGCACAAGAGAAACCTAAATCAAAGAATGAGAAACCAATGGTCAAATGACAGAATAACATCATTACCTAAACATCATTGACATAAACCCTGGATGTAAATGGATTAAAGTCATCAATCAAAAGGCATGGGCTGATGATACAAGGGATTAAAAAACAGGACCCATCTATCTGTTGCCTGCAGGAGACGTATCTTACAAGCAAGACTACACAGAAACTGGAAGAATGGAAAAAGATATTCCAGCCTAATGAAAGGAAAAACAAGCAGGTGTAGTCATTCTAATAACTGATAATACAGACTTTGCTGTGAAAAACATTAGAAGAGAAAAAGGAGGACAGAGAACAATGAATAAAGAACACAGTCAGCAAGAAGAAACCACCATAACAAATATACGCACACCAAATGCCAGGACACCTCAGTACCGAAAATAAATATTAACAGATTTCAAGGGAAAAATAGATTCCAACAAAATAACAGTGGGGGCCTTAACACACGACTAACCTCAATGGACAGACCAACAATATAGAAACTCGGCAAGCAAGCAACAGAGTTCACTCAAACTAGAGTAAATAGACTCAACTTATATCTACAAAACCTTTCATCCTACAGAGAATATGCTACTTTTTCAACAGTACAAGGAACCTTCTTCAGCACTGATCAGATTTCAAGACACAAACAAGCCTCAGCAAGTTTAAAAGAAAAAAAAAGGAAAGAATCTTCTCAGTTCATGATGGAGTGAAACTGACACAATCAAGTCAAAATATCCCAGAATATATGAAATATCTAGACACTGAACAATATGCTGTTAAATGAACAATGGATTACAGAAGAAAGCAAAGAGAAAATTTAGGGCCCAGTGCTCTAATCTGTCAATAGGGAAGGTATTTTAACAGAAGGAAGTCTGAAGAAATACAATATCCTAGAAGGATCCTGACATGATGCTTTAAAGAATTCTATTTTCACTTTTGTAAGGAACGATGGTGAAATAAACTAATTGCAGATACGTGCTGAACTGAAGGAAGAATCACTAACTATTTTCCTCAAACGTTGAAGAGGTCGGCTTGAAGAGAACAGATGGGAAATTGGAAAAGAAGTTGATAAGAAAAGAACTGAAAAGGGGGAAAGAAGGGAAAGGGGAAAGGAGATAGAGAAAAGATTAAACAAAGGAAATTCTTTCCCACAAAAACAATGGGAAAAAGGAAGCAGTTATGCAGGCATAATACATGGCGTAAATAAAGAACTAAATGAAGTGACAGGGCAGCCCTAGTTGTAATAAACAGCAAGTAGGTCACTTTGTTGGAGATGAGGTATTAAACTACGGGTTAATTCTACATTCTTAAAGTTCCAACATTCCAAAACTGCTCTCCAAGGATAGTCACATTTCACTAGAAAAAGGTAGCTTCAATGGTACTCATACTCACTCTATAAGTTATCCTTTTACAGCAGCAACAAAAGAAATGCTAACCAAACAGTAACAGCAACACATTGTGTCACATACTTGGTTATCTTATCAGAAATCACAATTAAACTCTTCTGACCGGGGAGAAATTTGCTACAAAAAATATATTCTAAATAGAGATATTTGGCCTAGGAATTAAGATGCCTTCATCTGATACCTGAATGTCCAGGTTCAACATATGACTCCAGCTCCTAATTCTAGTTTACTGTCAAGACAGACACTAGAATAGCAGGTCATGATTCAAGTTGTTGGGTCCCTGCCATCCATATGGGAGACCTGGAATGCCATCACAGTGCCCGTTGGGCACAGTCTCAGTCCCTGTGAACATATGTGGAGTAAACCAGTAAATAGAAACATACATGTGAGATGAATCCCTCAGATTGTGCCCTATACAAAAACAGGCTATTTTTTTTTAAAGATGTATTTATTTTTATTTGAAAGGCAGATTTAAAGAGAGGAGAGACAGAAACAGCTTCTAACAACTGGTTCGCCCCCCAAGTGGCTGCAATGGCCAGAGCTGAGTTGATCCAAAGCCAGGATCCAAGAGCTTCATCCCAGGCCTCCCATACAGGTGCAGGGGTCCAAGGATTTGGGCTATTCTCCACTGCTTTCCCAGATCATAAGCAGGGAGCTAGAAAGGAAGTGGAGCAGCCAGGACACTAAACAGAACCCATATGGGATCCTGGTACTTGCAGGTGGAGGATTAGCCTGTTAAGCCACTGTGCCTGCCAGTTCCATACAACTATTTTCATAATACTGAACTAATTTGATGTGATTTTTTTATCTTATGAAACAGCATTCCTTAGTTTTAAAATATGACAAATACACGAAGAAAGACAAGGAGAGGTATTTTTGAAAATCAGCAAAAAAGGTATGCTACCTCATGCAGACTTGCCATTGTGTGTTCCCAATACAGTTCAAGGTAAGTAAAGGCAGGAAGCAGGAAAGACAGTGCACTCATCACAGGAGAAAAATGTGTCAAAACTACATAGGCCTTTGATTCAGATAAAAACAAAAACATCAGCTCTAGTTCATACAACATGAAGATGATCTTGATATGAAAATATGCAACACATTCCATGGTTTCTAGCTTGTCTAAACAGAAAAAGGCTCTCAAGTCAAAGAAGCCCAAGAGATAGCTCCTCCCATCAAAGCAACCACACCAGGAGGCTATCTTCTTCTTACTGCTTGTTTTCTGGTTAAATGAGATTCACAATTTAAAGTACTAGAATACTCCGGGTAATACCTACCTTGCATGCTCCTGAACTCCCACAATCTCTACTTCACTGTCCGAGGAGGCAATGTTAATTTCCTCATTCAGGGGTGCACTGCCCGCAGATGGCTTATCACTCGTCAAGAATCCTGGATCCAAGTGACCTGAGAGAGCAAAGAAGAAAAAAAAAGTTACAGTTTGATTTCTCACCAACAGCAGAAGCAATTTATTGATAGATTTCTCTTTCAGACTGAGTCATAGCAACAGCACAGCCCTCACTCCTATCAGTCTAAGTGTTGTTGTTACTGTTCTGAAATAGGTATTCAGACACCATGACAGCACACATATGAACTTAAAGTCTATTGCTTTATTTAATAGTGGACTTTAAAGTCTTTTTTAAGAAAAAAGAAATACTGACACTTTGGTGAGTATCTAAAAATACATACATATGAATTATAACGAAATTCTTTAAATTTGGCTTTAGAATGGTTTTAAATGACATTTCTCTACTACTTATAATTTGAATATAGCAAATCTAAACCACAGAAACTCACAGGTATAAATGGTTTTTCTCTCTAAAGTAGGGGTGCAGAAACTTTTTACTGTCAAGGTTCATTTAGATATTTACAAATTTGGTAGACCATGCAAAATTATCAACTTAAAATTTGCCTGCTATATATTTGTTGAATTTTGAGTCCCAGCAAGGCCAGACCAAATGATTCAGTGGGCTTTATATTGGTATGTGGGCATATGTTCCCCACCACCTGCTCTAAAGGGATGCAGATTTGACAGGTCTGATGTAGGACTTTACCTTGAAGGGAAGGCTAGAAGTAGATCATAATTTTGGCTCTGAGCAACTGAAACATGACCTACACTACTGAGAGTTTTCATTTGTTCTTTAGACAGAAACAGACCACATGCTTTGGAAGAGCACAACAGTTGGTCACGTTAGGACATGTAAGGACTGTCTCACCAGGGTTTCCAGAAAGTACATGTACTCCATGTTGCAATGAAACATATTTCCTAACATCACAGAAAACAAGCTTCTCAGAACTCTAGTAACAGCTAAAGGCACTGAACCAAAGTAACTAGGTGAAATCTCCTCTAACAAGTTTAAAAATTCAGTTTATGTACTTAGCTCATGTGTTCTGATTTGAAGGGATGAATTTTAGAAGACCTGGCAGTCAGCGCAGAATAAGCAACTACAATGGGTGTAAATTTACTTTTATTCTTCAAAGGGTATCACATATATTGCCATCTGATATAAAGTAGCTCTTCAGTTTTTTTTTGAAATCTCTCATGAGACCTCATATAATCTAAACCAAGATAATGAGAATTAAATCTTACATGCACAACTCACCCTGTACCCACCCCTTGCTTCATTCCAATATTTTAAGGTCACTGAAAAAAAAAATCGTGCACTTTTACACTTCTATCAAGTCTTTCAGGAAAGATTAATTATGGTCTCAAAGCAAACTTTACCAGTCTCACACTCTTTAACAGGTATCAACTCACTGCTGAAAATTTAATCTAAGGAAAGAGACCTGAAATAATATACTATGCCGTTCAGACACCTATCATAGCTCTATGCAGAAACACTGGAAAATACATACGTAACACATAAAGTATCACACATAGAGGCCAGCATTGTGATAGAGCAAGTTAAATCACCACAATGAGCAAAGGTCCTGCTCTCAGATGCTCCACTTTCAATCAAACTCTGCATCCGGGAAAGCAGTGGAAGATGACCCAAGTCCTTGGGCTCCTGCATCCATGGGGGAGACCAGAAGCAGCAATGGCTTTGACCATGCCCAACAATTCTGGCCTTTGGGGCCTTGCTTCCCTCCACTTATTGGAGCCATTAAAAATGGGAACCAGCCAAAGCAATAGTTACTCTCTCTTGCTCTCCTTCTCCCTCCTACCCTGTTACTCTGCCTTTAAAATTTTTTTAACTCTTAAAAAAAAAATTGCCACACATAACACTGAAAATACCAGAACATGCATAATGAGTAAGCTGTGAAAAGTGATCAAATTTGAAGATGATTGGTGGGTCTTTTTCATAACCATCATTTTTACCTTTTTCCTTGAATTGAAAATGATGCACATGAGAAAACAGAAATGTAAAAGGCTTAAAAAAGCTTCTGGAGGAAACTAGTGATTAAGATTATATTATAATATAATGAGTCGGTAATCCAGCTGGATCCAAGTGGCACCATCAGTGGGCACCAGACAAACCCAGCCCCATTAAATCAGGGCGATTTCTCAAACAGAATTTTGTTAAGTCTACATTTGGTGAACTTAGATTCTTGCTCTGATCTCTTAATATCTTGTTATGGACAAATCCAATTAATCCAATTTCCACTGCAATGTTAATTAGGGCTATCAATATGCACACTCTCTCAACTGTGCTACTAGGGAACAATGCAAATCAGTAGTTTCTCTCTTTTTCAAATCAATTGGCCCGTAATTCACTAATTCAAGCAGTCCTTCCTATTTACCTGTTACTTAGTACAATACATACTTGCCTATAACATGCTATTACTACACTAGGTGCTAGGAACACAATAGGAAACAAGGCAGGCAGTCTCCATCTTCAATGAATGAAATATTTAAGGATAATAAAAACCAGTCCACTGCACTATGACTGGAAAAGCATTCTGATGGGGAAACTTTAGGGTACTTCAAAAAGTTCAAACAAAATAGAACTAAAAGGTTATGTTGGTACAAAGTGTTTCTGAAATTCATACAGTTTTTCCATAATACTCATGTTTCCATGGACTTTTTGAAGAGCCCTTGGAAAGAGTATCCTGGAAACACACAGAAAAGGCACATTCCCCATATCTGAAGGTGATGAAGAAAGCTGAGCCTCCAGGCAAGAGTGGGCACAGATGAGTACAAACAGCGTAACGAACGTCTTGTCACTCACTGCTGAGAGCTGGGGCAGTAAGAGAGAAAGCAGAAACAAGGCTGGCCGAGTCAGCAGGTCAGACCATGGTAAGAAGTTTGGGCTTGACCTTGAGAGGCAGGAAGCCACTGGAGGATATCTGCAGAGCAGTGAGTGACATGATCTAGTTTGGGATTCTTAAAATTTCCTTGTGGAGCACAGAAATGAAACTCAGAGTTAAGGCACAGGACACTGGAAGTAAAGGAAGTGGTTAGACTTCTGTAGTTACTTGGTGAGAAATAACTAGCTGAACCAGGAAAGGAACAAAAAAGAAAATACTCTGTGTTTGTATGGAAAGTTAGCATTTGGCGGGGGAGGGAAGTGTCAGGCAAACAAAAGAACACCGGAAGTCAACAGCGGTACTTGCTATCTGGACAGAGCCACAATAGGACAAAGTCACAGTACCGCTCAATGTGCTAACCAAAGCCAAGGTGGTTGGGTGGCTGCTTTGGATAGGGCAATAATGTGGCCTGGAAGTAGTCAGAGATGCTCTTCTAAATCTCAAATCAGAAGTCAAAAGAGGAAATAACGACTTGGTAACTAATTCCTCCCAGACAGTTCCGAAGATAAAGGTCGCCCAGAGGAGGAAAGGGAGCCCACAACAGAACCCCAATGAAGACATAATGAAGTCACAGGCACGGGAGGTAAGAAAGGAAAGCTAAAGGCAGGAAAAAAAAACCCAAGGATGTGACACCATGGACACCAAAGAGCACTGCTAGGAACAGGTACTTAACAGTACCCAGCTGAAGGCTCAGATGAGAGAATGCAAGCGTTGTCCACTAAAATCACACGTCACATGCCTGTGGATGAGTTAGGAAAGGGGTGACTCAGAACACTGATGGGCTAAGCCAGCATGGCAAAGCAAACTGAAGAATAATGGGAGGAAAGGAACAGCTTTAAGTTTAGCTGAAGAGAAAAAGGGACAGGCTGTTACTGAGCAAGCAGTGTGGATCTGAAGGAAAGGGATACCTATACATGTACAGCTTTTAAAGGGAGACTGGTCAGACTTAGGGGGGAAAAGGGGCAGAAAACAAACAGGCTCCTGTCAGAGGTAACTCTGGTCTGTGCAAAATATGACAAGGCCGGGCCCGGCAGCGTGGCCTAGTGGCTAAAGTCCTCGCCTTGAACACGCCAGGATCCCATATGGGCGTGGGTTCTAATCCCGGCAGCTCCACTTCCCATCCAGCTCCCTGCTTGTGGCCTGGGAAAGTAGTTGAGGATGGCCCAAAGCCTTGGGACCCTGCACCCGTGTGGGATACCCAGAAGAAGTTCCTGGATCCTGGCTTCAGATTGGCATAGCATCAGCCCCTTGTGCTCACTTGGGGAGTGAATCATCGGACAGAAGATCTTCCTCTCTGTCTCTCCTCCTCTCTGTATATCTGACTTTCCAATAAATAGATAAAAATTAAAAAAAAAAAAAAAAAGGCCACCAGGAGAGTATGGATGGGTGGAGGGAGGGCAGCAGGCAAGAGTTTAGAAAGTGAAGCAACCACTCTAAAGAATCCTGGATGAGGAAAAGGGGGCTCTCGGGGCAGGGCTGGGAGCTGCCAGGAAGCAGCAGGAAGGAAATGAGGGTGACCCTTGGGCTCTGCAATGAGGCACTGTCTCCACGCGAGGCAATGGGGATGGAGATTACAATGTGCACTGAGGGAGCAGACTCTACCAGATGGTGACAGCATGAAAGTCACCTCGTCAAGGGAGCTGAAGACACCAGCAAGCAGACTGCAAAGGCAAAGCAATGAAGCTGGGAGAGCATGGACGGAGGGCTGGGTGCAACGAGCCAGTAAAACAGTAAGAACTGCCAGTAGAAAAGAGAGCAATGTAGGAAAAGGTAGGAGGAAACTACACTTCATAAGAAGAAAAGCAGTATTTCCACCTGCTCAGCTACCCAAAAAATCACAAGTCACTGGGACTGCTCCATCTCGCCCCCACTTTGCTGCTCTCATCTGCTCCAGCCTTTCACCATTCCTACAACTTCTGCTCTGCCCTCTGGAAAGCCAGCTCCATGGTGAACGGTGTGAACCTTATTTCTCTCCGCCTCCTCACAGAAACCCAACTATCCTGAAGAAGCTGATCCTACCCTCAATTCTAATATCAGAATCACAGATTATCCGCCTTGGTCCTCTGGTACCAAAAGCAGCAGCCCACATTTTCCAGGCTACCTTTTCACTATCATACACTGATCCACAACAGCCTCACTAGGTTCATGAAATATTCCTG